AAACATGTACTTAAATTTTGAGAAATATATTAGTGTAACTTCTGTGAATATTAATGCTAATTTTTGGGCGTAATTAGAGTTTCTTAGTAAGAAAAGTCAACGATTGGATACACCTTGTTTTCATGGCCGACACAATAATTAATAATAATAAGTCAAGTCTGCAGCAGTTTTTAATAGCTGTGGTTTTTTTGTGTGTGGTTGAATATGGCCCATAGACTTTATAAGAGAGGTAATAAACTCAATATACATTAAGAAGGGTGACGAGTAATTGGAGTAGCTGTTACTCTATTTGCTTGCTTGAGGCATGTTTTGTTGTTACATTATTAACTAAATTTTAGAAAGTAATGTAACTACTTTTGGTTATGGTTATCTCTAATAATCAACAAGCTCTTCCTTGAGGCCCTCTGTTACACCCACCTTCTCTTGAAAGTGTGCAATGCATCGATAATATGCTCATGGGCAACATTAAGAAACTTTAAGACCTTCTTATGGACCAAAATTTCACCTTTGAATTTTTTTTCAAATATTAATCAATAAAGCACAAAAATATCATAGATGTCTTCGTCCTTAGCTAGGTCACCGTCTCTCACATCTCGGTCCATTTTATATTATTAGACATGTGACTTCATACACAAGAAGGGGAATGAATAATGTGTATCAGAATAATTTGGATTTAAAAAAGTTTTAAAATTAAAATCAGAGTTTGAAGGCATTTTTAAAAAGTTTTTAAAGTTATGCAGTAGAAAATAAAATTGCAAAAGATAAAATGCAGAAATATAAAGAGTTTAAGGAAAAATAAAAGACACCGAAAGTTATAGAGGTTCGGTCAAAAAGAAATGAGACCTAATCCTCTCTCTAAGAATTTTTCTTGAGAGTATCCAATAAACTTAAAAGATTTTAGTAGGTTGAACTCTTGAATCCCCGTATACAAAGAAAAATGAAATTTCTGACTAACTTCCAATCAAACAGAAAACATGAGAGAGAGGTGGTGAGTCTTCCTTCCAAATGATAGATCGAAGCGGTAAGTCTCTTTTCCACAAGAAACTTGGAGCGTGAAGTCTTCAAGTTTCAAACAAAGATTTTATGACAGACTTATCTTGAACCTTGAGAGCTTTTAACATCGGCCTGAGCTCACGAATCGAAACATGGTTTTATACTGGACTCACTAAGAACCTCTGAGATTTTACCACTGGGTTGATCTCTAACCGAAATAAGCTTTTATCATGCGCTGAGCTTTAACCGAAACTTGATTTTATCAAAGGCTAACCTAGAACTAAATGGAGACTTGATCACACAATTTCAAAACCAAATCTTTTCACAGGTTTAGCCACGAACCCAAACAAATAATCTCTAAATGGAAAAAATATTCAACTAAGGTAAAAACAAAACATCCTTGATGAACTTACAAAACTAATCTTAAAGAATTACAACTTCATTACTCACAAAATGACTTTCTCGAAAAGAACTAGGGCTAAAATCTTATTGAGTGGAAGTAAACAAAAAGAATTTTTATAGAGAGAGTGAGAAGTGAGAAATGAAATCACATTTCTGGATGTTAAAAAAGTGGGAAGGAGCCTTTATTTATAGACTAGAAGTTGACACAAAACAAAAAAAGTTTTTATGACCATAATTGATGTGCCAATCGATTGGCATCATTCACCAATCGATTAGTAGGAATGAATTAATAGATTAATAAACTCAAAATGGAAAGGAAATATATTTAGACGTTACACCTCATTAAGATGTTGTCCTAATTTCTTAGAGTTTATTTTTGAACTGACCCAATCGATTAGGTTAATGTGCCAATCGACAGGGACAAAAATTTTCTTAGAACTTTTTTGATAGCTCCTAACTCATCTAGCACAACTTCAAGGCATCTTTGATAATGTTTTCTTGAGAAAAATAAGTTTGAAAACTAGTTTATGTGTGTGTGTATGTGTGTGTTTAGCCATACACTTTACGATAATTCTTTTATGCTTTTATAATATATTTTTCTCAAACATATCAAGACAGGGCTTTCATACTTCCATATATTTCAAGACTTGTTAGATGCTTTATCCTTGTAGAAACTTGTTTAAACTTGAGATTAGGCTTGAGTTGTATTCCTTTGGTTTCCATTATCAAAGAGTCAAGTCTATAAAACTCTAATGGTATGATTTCATCTTTAATCGCACTTTGGTTATCCTCAAAGACTTGTTGTCATAATCAAATGCATGTTCATATTTAATAGTTGTCATAATCAAAAACATATTCTATAATCTACAAAATAAGGTTCCACACATATAAGTACTTCAAAAAACATGAATATACAATAAAAACCTAATTTAAATTTTACATTCGGTTAACTTGTTGTTAAAATATCTTTCTTAAATAAATTAAATAAAGAACTGTCACACCCACTTTTTAGAAAAAGCAATACTCATTAAATCATAGAATCATTTTGAAAGTAGATTTCAAGAATCAAGTTATATAAGACATACCTTGGATGGAGTTTCTTTCAATTAGTTGTTTGGTAAGGAAAAATTGTCTTTAGAAGCTCCTTTCTTGCTTTAGGAAATTAAGGAGGTGGTTTGAGCTTGTGATGGGGAGAAAAGCTCTTGCTTGGAAAGGTTTGACCTTAATTTCTTCAAAGTGTGTTGGGATATTGTGAATGATGATTTATTCAGGTTTTTGAATGAGTTTCATTTGAATCATTTTTTTGCCCAAGTTTGTGATGACATCTTCCTTAGCTTTGATTTCCAAATATGATAATCCTTAATCTCTTGAGGATTATAGAATTATTTGTTTAGTTAGGCGTCTCTACTAAATTTTATCCAAGTTACTAGCTTCTAGATTTAAGAAGGTAATGTCAAATATGATTTCCCAGTGTCAAACAACTTTCCTTCCTAGTAGACAAATGATTGATGATGTTCTTGTCATTAATAAATTGATGGACTTCGCTAAGATGTTTAAAAGGAGTTATATGTTGGTGAAAGTAGATTTTGAGAAAGCCTATGATTGCGTGTCGTGGGACTTTCTTAGGTATATTATGAAAAGGATGAGTTTTGGTAACAGGTGGCTAGGGTGGATGAAAGGTCTAGTTCTAAATAGTTCAATGTCAATCCTATTTAATGGTATCCCAACAAAAGACTTTAAAGTTTGAAGAGGCTTGTGTCAAGGGGACACATTCTCACCTTTCCTTTTCCTAATAGTGGTTGAAAAGTTGGCTGGGATGATGCACTATGCGATGAACTTATGAGAGTTTGAAGTATTTTAAATCAATTCCACCACCCACTTTGAATTTTTGCAATTTGCAGATAATATTGTTTTGATTGGGGACTGACTTAGGGAGTGGATTAATGGGAGATGGGTTTGGGATATCGAAATTAACATGTTTTTCTATCGGAAGAAGAGTTAGTGTTGCTTTCTGATTTCTACCATATTCTGTAGAATGTGAATCCTGAAGCTTGAGTGGATGACTAGTTTGTTTGGTGGAGACACAAACGTGGGTTTTCAATTAAGGCGAGTAACTTGAGGATTCAAGAATCTTGTAATTGTGGTTTGGTTTTGGAGGAAGAGTTGTCTCGTGCTTTGGATAATATATGGAAAATAAAGGTGCCTAGTAAAACTCTCATTTTTGGTTGGTGTTTGATTCTCAATAGAGTTCCTACTAGGGTGGATTTGGCAAGGCGTGGAGTTCTTGTCGGTGTGAACAATCTGGTTTATTCGTTGTGTTTTTCAGAAGAAGGGGGTTTGGTACATCTCTTTTATTCCTATTCAATTAGTAATCATATTTAGATTAAAACTTGTGAATGGCTTGGAGTGGATTTAGCTAACCATACATGTTGATAGTCTCCCGTTGACAATTTTTGAATTCGAGGATAATACCATACAGGTTGTAGGAACTCAATTTTGTTCAATAGAAGAATTTTAAGTAATATTGTTGTGCTTGGAATGATCAAACTTTTAGCTTGGGAGGGGCTTATTGCTTTTAGTAAATTCGGTCGGAATATGTTGTGGTCGGATTGGTATATCAATCCAGGGCCTTTCCTTTAGTAATATGGTTCTTGTAAGTCTTTCTTTGTTGGAATGATTTTCATTGTTGAGTTGAGTATCCCCTAGTGCTTTTTATATTCAATTCTAATTAATTATATAAAAAAGAAGTTTTTCCACCCTATGCTTTCAGAGTACACCACACGAAATTCTAGAAATGTCTCTAAAAAACAAAAATATATTTTCGGTGCGCATCCACACACTTATAATTCACTCGTTTTTTGAGATTCATACTATTTTACGATAAAAATTAACCCGAAAATACACTTCTGGAAATTCCCAAAAATACATTTTCGATAAGACACTGAACTTACCTGAAAGTACTTTGAAAGAGTCTTTAATTTTAAACCACCCTTTTTATAGTGCCGTTTTGAATCAATGACATCCCTCATATGTGACCATCACTTATATATCATATTTTTGAGAATATACACAATAAAAATGTCTTAACAAAATTGTATTTTTGAGAATTTTCAAAAATATATTTTTAAAATAAAATTTATCATATTTTGAATTTTAAAAACAAATAAATTTTAAATTGTGAATACGTACTAAAAATATATTTTTTAATTTTTTAAAAATATTTTTAAAATTGTATAGAATATTTCTTTCCTTTATAAAGTGGAAAAAGAAATTAAAAAAAACGCCATACCCACGGATCCCTAATGAAGCAGGAAACGTGTGGCACCACACCTGCCTCTCTTCCAGAAGCCCAAATTCCAAATAGGAAAAAAAAACAAATAACCAAAGTCATATAATATATTACCAACCGCCTTATTTCTTCTAGAAAATAAATAAATTAATCAATCGGAAATGTCACAAAACCAAACTTGTCACTTTCACTCTCTATCTTCTCATTTCACGAAATTCATATATAATTTTCAACATTCTATCATTATAAGAAAACCTTAGAATTTTGCAACTATATATCAAAATCATCTCAACATACTTTCCTTCACTTCTCTAATATGGGTTTCAATAAGGTTCCTATGTTTGTGCTGTATATAGTTTTGATTTGTTCAATTGGAGAGAAACCTTCAATTGTAGAAGGAAGAGTCCTTTCATTAATATCTCATCAAGGTTAGTGACAATATTAATTTCTTGATTATATGATTTATTTATATGTGTAATATATGGTTGTTGATTTTGTGTATGATTATGATGATGTAGTTATAGGGTACTCTAAGATTTTTGCGACGCTTGGTGTTATTTGCAAGTGTTGTGATGATGGAGTTGAAGGTGCATGCAAAGAAACATGGACAGATTCTTGCTCTAACATACAGTGTTCACCTTGGAAAACATATTAGTTTAAAACATGTACTTATATTTTGAGAAATGTTGTAGATATATTTGTTTTATGATTCGAGTTGCAGAAATTTTTGATAGAACTGCAGATAATTATGTGTAATTTCTGTGAATATTAATGCTAATTTTTGGGCGTAATTAGAGATTCTTGGTAAGAAATTAAGTCAACAGTTGGATATACCTTGTTTTCATGGCCGACACAAAAATTGTTAATAGTAAGTCAATAGTCTATACAACAATAAAGCATTATAAGAAAGAACAACAAAACATTCGAGAAAACTAAAGAGAGAAAGTTGAAGAGAGTTCTGGTTTGGTCCTTGTTGATGAATGAAAAAGAAAATAAGGATTAAGATTTAGAAGGTAAGTTGGTGCATCATATGAAAAAGGAGCATTATGATCTCAAGTAGTTTGCATCACAAGCAATCTCATTCAAAGCTTAAGAAATCAATTGTAGCAACATGTAAGAACCATTTAAAATTTAGTTATAGTAATTAGTTATGATTGTATGTGACTAGACTTAGAAAGCTTATATGATGTAATTCACTTAGAACTAGTATAAAGCTGTATTGTTGTTTGTAACTTATTCCTTACAAAATGCAGCTATTTTTCTTATTTCTCTCATTTTCAATTCAATATGGTAGGTATCATGGGAAAAAAAAGGTTCTTCTACAGAGGAGGCCCCCGCTTTCTTTATTGAAGTAAGTAAAAATGATTTGATTGAGTATTTTTTAAGAATTGATTTAGTCAAATCTAATACTTCATATATTAGAAAAAGAAATGATCCGTCTGATTTAGGATTGATTAGGGATAATCAATTGGATCGAATCAATCTATTTTTTTCTATTCATTTCAAGGGAAAAGTTCAACAATCACTTAGCTAAAATCACTGAACTATTCGTATGATGTTGAGTAGAAATAAAGAATGCCGATCTTGGATAGTTTTGTCATCTCAAATGAGACCATTCAACAATGTAAAATCTCACAATGGAATAAAGAAAGATCCTATAATTTCAATTAATAATAATAATTCATTCGGTCCTTTAGGAATAGCCCTTCAAGTTGTGAATTTTTATTCATTTTATCATTTAATAAACTCATAATAAGATCTCAATCATTAAAAATTTGCAACTTGACAAATTAATTGAAAATTTTCAAGTAATTAAATATTATTTAATGGACGAAAATGAGAAAAATTTTAAACCCGGTCTATACAGTAATATCATTTTGAATCCATTCCATTTGAATTGGTTTTTTCTCCATCATTTTTATTGTAAAAAAACATTTACAATAATAAGTCTTGAGCAATTGATTTGTAAAAATATATGTATAGCTAAAATGAAAAATAGACCACACCTAAAACTAAAATCGGGTCAAGTTATAACAGTTCAAATGGATTCTGTAATAATAAGATCGACTAATCCTTATTTGGCGACTCCAAAAGCAACCATTCACGGCCGTTATGGGGAGATCCTTTCTCAAGGAGATATTTTAGTTACATTCATATATGAAAAATCGAGATTCGGTGATATAACACAAGGTCTTCCAAAAGTGGAACATATATTAGAAATACGTTCGATTGATTTAATATCCATGAATCTAGAAAAAAGATTTGATGCTTGGAACGAGTGTATAACAAAAAATCTCGGCATGCCTTGGAGATTCTTGATTGGTGCTGAGCTAACTTTAGCGCAAAGTCGTATTTCTTTGGTTAATAAAATCCAAAAGTTTTATCGATCCCAGGGAGTACATATCCATAATAGACATATCGATATTATTGTGGGTCAAATAACATCCAAAGCTTGGAAGAATTTCTTATTGTGGTTTTAGAAGATAGAATGTCTAATGTATTTTTACCTGGCGAACTAATTGGATCATTGCGAGCAGAACGAACGGGGCGTACCTTGGAAGAACCCATTTGTTACCGAGCTTTAATATTGGGAATAACAAAAACATCTCTGAATACTCAAAGTTTCATATTTGAAGCGAGTTTTCAAGAAATTGCTAGAGTTTTAGCAAAAGCCGCTCTTCGGGGTCGTATTGATTGGTTGAAAGGTCTTAAAGAGAATGTTGTTTTAGGGGGATGATACTCGTTAGTACCAGATTCAAAAGAATAATGCACCGTTCACGGTCAAGGAAATATAACAAGATTACCCGAAAAAAATTTATTCGAAGTAGAAATTAGAAATCTTTTGTTCCATCATAGAAAATTCTTTGATTTTTGTCATTTCAAAGAATTTATGTGATACATTATTAGAAATATTAGATTAAATGGTTCCTAAAAGAGGATTCGACTCAGCCCCTTAAATCTTTAAATGCAGTCATTTGATTTGGTAATAAAGTAGAACAAAAAATAATAATAAATAAAAATAAAAGAATAGATTGATTCTATCTTAACGACCAATCGTCTATAAAAGAGAAGGTTCCATCAGAACAATTATTTATTTCTATTTCAGGATACTGGGTCTCTCTTTTTTTCTTCAATTTTTTTTAAAAAGTGTGGGGATAAATGACAAAAAGATATTGAAACATCACTTTTGAAGAGATGATGGAAGCTGGGATTCATTTTTGCCATGATACTAAGAAATGGAATCCTCGAATGACACCTTTTATATCGAGAAAACATAAAGGTATTCATATTACAAATGTTACTCGTTTTTTATCAAAAGCTTGTGATTTGACTTTTGATGCAGCAAGCACAGAAAAACAATTTTTAATTGTTGGTATAAAAAAAAGAAGTCGATTCAGTAACACGGGCTGCAATAAGAACTCGATGTCATTATGTTAATAAAAAAATGGCTCAGAGGTATGTTAACGAATTGGTATACTACAGAAACGAGACTTCGTCAAATCAGGGAATTGAGAATGGAGCAAAAAAAGGGGAAACTAAACTCTCTTCCAAAAAGAGATGCCGCTATGTTGAAGAGACAATCATCTCATTTGAAAACATATCTAGGCGGTATAAAATATCTGACAAGATTACCTGATATTGTAATAATCATTGGTCAGCAAGAAGAATATACGGCTCTTCAAGAATATATCACTTTAGGAATTCCAACGATTTGTTTATTTGATACAAATTGTGACACGGATCTTGCAGATATTTCAATTCTGGCTAATGATGATGCTATAGCTTCCATCCGATTAATTCTTAACAAATTAATTTTTGCAATTTGTGAGGGTCGTTCTAGCTATATACAAAAAATTGATTAATAATAAGATAAATCAATTTTTAGATTTGGTTGGGCGTGCGGTCATAGATTTTTAGAATTGGTTATTATAGCATTACAAAATTGTGTAAAAAGAAATATTTTGTGATTAATAGGTATTCAAAATAGAAAATCAAAGTAAAATAAGGAAATGGTTGAATCAAATAATTCCCTTTCAAGGTATATATATTTTTATTTTAGAGGACAGGTAGGGATGTCAATGGGGCGGGCCGGGGCCGGGGGGACACTTCCCCATCTTTTATTCCCGCCATCAAATTCATTCCCCGTCCCCGCCCCCGATCTCCGTCATGGGGGAATTTCTATCCCCATCCCCGTTCCCCGCGGGGATCCCCATAGATCCTACATTTATTCATTAATATTTTATTTTTTTAAAATGTTTATATTTTCTATAAAAATAAAAAGCACAAAGAATTCACATATTTATTATGTTATTAAAAAATACTAGTATTTGACATTTATTATTTTTTATTAAAAATACTAATGGAACACAAAATAATAATATTTTTTTTATAAATTTCTATAAAATGCTATAAAATTCAACAAAATGAACTATAATACTTTTTAAAGTAACAATATGCCTAAACAACTAAAAAAATCCAACAACATAATTATGCTTAAAAAACTATACTTCACCAAAACTAATAAGGGATAATTATAAAATTTAGCATCATGAGTATGCTTGAAAAGCTAAAAAATACTTCATAATAAGTCAACTAAAAGCAAAAGTCAACATATCTCTATTTGCTCAATTGATAACACACGTAAAGTAGAAATATCAAAATACTTAAAACAAAGTTACATATAAATAAACTAAAATATTAAGCAAAATATCCAAACAAGTAATGATCAATCATGTCTCTCTTTCCAACTTCTCCTTGCAAGGTCTTCTTCCTCATTCCACAATTAGATATGACTTTCTTTTTCCTACGAAAAGTAAACAATCAATAATTATATTTACTTAAAAAAATACTTTAAAAACTAAAAGGTAATCAACACTAATATGTAAATTACCTTATTATCATCATCATCATCATCATCCATATCTTCATCCACACATTCGAATTGAGTCAACGTTTTTGAATAACCTAAGAAACAAATAGCTAAATTAAAATTTAAAAATCCTTTTCAATTAATCTTGTAAAAGATAAAAATATATTACCTTTTATATCTTTTCGGATCCAATCTTGAGTGCACATCAAAGCCTCTAAAGTGTCTTCCTTCAACCTACTACGTTGTTGACTTAAAACACGACCACTAGTACTAAAGGCGGACTCTGAAGCAACGGTAGAGATAGGAATTGCTAAAAAGTCCCTTGCAATCTTTTGCAAAGTTGGAAATTTCAAACCATTTTGTTTCCACCATCCTAAGATGTCAAAATTTTCCTTTTTTTGTTTATCAAGCAAGACACCATCTTCCAAGTAGGAAGTAAATTCTGACTTGACATTTGTAGTTGAAGTATTTTCCATCACATATTCCGAATAAGCCTTCTCCCAATCTTGACTTGTGACATCAATGTCATCTACCAATGTTGATGCACCAACTTCACTACTTGTAGGAACCATATCATTATTTGGTTGATATTCTTCAACTAAATCTTCACACATTTGTATTACCTTTTCCAATTCTTTGGGAGCATTATTCCCATACATAAGTGGGAAGAAGTAATTCAACAAAGTTATTTTATATCTAGGATCCAAAACAGCCCCTATTGCCATCACCCCATTAATCAAACTCCAATATTTGTCAAACTTCATTATCATACTTCTTGCCATACT